GGAGACCAAGGACAAACAACACTTAAAGGTTCTTAATTTAGTTAGTTTTTTTTTTCAAAGTGATGATACATTTGTGAATATAAATATCTCTTTGATTTTATTTCTCTACTCACAGTGGGAAGCAAACAATCCAGAGGTAGAGATTATTTTTAAGACTAATTTGACAATAAAACCTGAATTTGAGGTCTTTTGACCCTCATTTTGCTAGGATGGGAGTTTGCTCCATATGGTCATTAATTTTATTAGGAGGCTACTGTCACTCTGCTATTCCCACTTTGTATTGCATTTTCCCCCCTAAAACGTTACGAGGCTAATGACTATATTTATAATAAAGTCTTAGTGACAGATTGTGTAAAAATGACTCATTAGTATCCATCAAAATGTAACCAAGGCAGAAGGCATTAATCAATTTAAACAGGTAAAATGTACATTCTCAGTTTTGCTTGAATAAAATGAGCAGAAATGTTTCTTTGCCAATAGAAATGTTTCATCTTACAGTGTAGTCTCTTTCAAATGAGCCTACGCTTTCTTTTATTAGCCTAGGTTGAGGAACAATTTGCTCGGGAAGCCACAAACTTGTATCCATGTTTTACTTCTGTGTAGTATTTCCTGCAAGGAAAACAGGCTGAAAAAGCACTTAGAGGTATTGACCACTTAATTTCCATTCCAATTTAGGACTCTGTCTTTTCTAAAGGAATAAAGGTTATAATTTTTAGCTCTGTTCTTAGAATGCATCAGCAAGTTAGAGGCTATCTAAAAAAAAGATGTATGAAAAAACAACAAAGAATAAGAGAAAAAGAAAATGAGTAACTTGAACAATGAGCCTTAAAGCAACACAAAAAGCCATGTACCTGCTCAATCCAAAAAGCAAAGCTGTAAAGCAGGAACCTGATAATCAGTCTAGCTACAAGTATTCATTTAGCAGCTAAGAAGAGTTCAGGCTCTACATTATGTGCCCTGGTGCTTTAGGGACTCGTGAGAGTCTATAAGCAGGGCTGTATGTACAGCCTAAACACAGTAAGTAAGCAAACTTTAATTGGCTTTGGTATGCTGACACATGTAGGGCAGTCCATACTTACTTTCTGAAGAGGTAGTTCTTGTAGATCAAATTTAGACTTAGTCTGCAAGTTTAAAGTCATGCTTCTGCCTGCATGCATTGCTGAAATACCTCCATAGGGCAGCATGCCAAGGTTAACTGTGTTGTGTTTGTAAGCAGCGTTCTGAGTAGAGGAGATAATCATGTGACAGGGTGTGAACACATGCTCAACAAACTGATTATAACATGAACATGTTTCAATTTATCACATTTAACTTTAAGCGAGCAAACAGTAACTTTCTTTTCAAAACATGCACTCGATCAGACAGAAGCAAACGGTAAACAGTGTTAGTTATGCACATAATGAGTACCATCCAAAACTACAGAAAAGACAAAAAGCAAAGATACATTCTGTTTTATATTTGCTGCTAACTCAAAGGCATAAAATCTATCTCGTATATCATGATAGCAGTGATTTTGGACAGATGTTGTTTATCTGTGTAAGTCTATCAATTAAAAAAGTTTAAACAGTGAAGTAAGTCAGTAAACTTTTGTCAGCTGCAAATCTCATGGTGTCTTTCACATTATGAGTTCATCACATACCAAAGACAAATACTAGCTTCTGATTCTGCCTTAAAACTGATGCACTCAATGTTGCAGTCAAAATCAGTTTATTTTATTTCTCAGTTTATAGGCTTACTTACAGCAACTCAGAAAAAGAGCTGGTCAAAAGCTCGTTCAATTTGACCACTGGCTGACTGAATTTACAGATTAATTTAGTCAAACCAGTCAAATAAGTTGTATGAAGATCCAAATATTCTAACTTTTTTATTTCTTAAAAATTACATTTTAATTGGAGAAATTTAATAATGAAACTAAAGGAATTATGATTTGAACTATTAGTGCTACTTATATACTACACCTAAATAACTATAGAAAACTAGTACTGTTTTAATTGTGGCTACCCTTCTAAAGTTATTGCAAGTATCTTATAGTTAATTTTTTCTACAGAACTTCATTTAAAAAATTCAGATATTTTGGGTGACTGGTCATCAACTAGTTTTCATCGGTACAATCTCTACTTTCTACTTATAACGGAAATGTAATAACTCAGTATTTGATCCTTTAGGTAATTCTCTTATTTTGAAAAAGAATCTATAGAAGTTAACTTAATATCCTTTAAAAAAACTGAACACCAACAGTAGACAGCTACTCGACTCTAGGACATTATTTGCAAAGCAATGATTTTTAGCATCAGAGTTTCACTGACCAATAAGATTTGTTATGGATTTTTGATTGTTTTATCCAGAGTTTTTTCATTATCACTATGCCAAAATTGAAAAGGACACTGAACAGTTCAGTAGCCCTTGATTTCTTAAGGATTAAAATCACCCCATCTAGTGCTCTATCAGCTCCTCTAGAAGAGTAGCAGTCTCAGACACATGGGTTCATGTTTTAATTTCTCTCAGTCACAGTGGGGCTCTGTGGTGCAAGCTTGAGCCTTGAGGTTAAATTAGAGGAAAAAACGGGCATCTTTTATCCAGCGTTGTACCTGGAGCTGCCTCTCCAAGTACCGATCCAGAGCTTTAACCAATATCATGTTGGTCTGTTAAGCTTATCGGAGCTTAAAGGCAGTTCTGTTTTATGAGGACTGGACAAAGATCTATAGTTTCCAATGTAACTATTTGATTTCCAGGGTTCAAATTGATCAATTAAATTTCACTGGGAAAGAAGCACAGCACGTCTCTGGTGCAATCTGACTTTGGACAAAATGTTCAGTAGCACAGCTATGTCAAAACTAGTTTTAGGCAACACATCTGTGCTTCAGAACCCTGGATTCATCTTGTTGAGTAGCTGAGAAATTTTAAGTACGATACAGCCTGAAAAGCTCAGTACGCCAACTGAGAGGGAGCATAAATCTTATTTGGAAAAAATTAGAGAAAGAGCTTCTAGGATTCAATGACTTGAAGCAATTCTCTAAGGCAATTTAATGTCAGAATTAAATGAGAAGCTATTAACATACATTGAAGTTGCTCTGAAAAATGAAAGACACTAATAAAATGATAATCAAACCAGGGATACATGAAGGCTAATTGAAAAGGGAGGTGCTGTCACAGCAATGGGAAATATATGAGTTAACTTTTTGTATCTGGACTCTGGGACAGGCAGCACCTCCAAACTTCTGGTGATCCAAACCCCCCTCTCACAGTCTTATCTTCCTCCCTCCAAATTCCTACTCCAGTTAGAGGGGTCACCTACTTGTCAGTAGCTCTGATCAAAGGAGAGAAACCATTTAGCTGGGAAACCAGTAAGTGAGAATGATGGTACCAAATGTTCAGAATTTGTTTTTCTTTTTTTATGCTTTGTTTCCACTCACTCCTCTGCTGCCTCAAATTACTCATCATTGTACATATGCTCTGAAAAGCTTCTTATAACCTTTCTTGACTAGTTCATCTTACCCTGTTACGTATGGTCGTGTCTACACGAGGCCAGAGTTTCCAAACTGTACTGTATTATTTGGCCCCAAATATTTTCGCCCTCCAAGTTATCTGTCTACATGGAGGGTGTAACTTGAGGTAAGGCATGGTGACAACCGACCAGGTGTCTCCCACTGACAGCCAGTCATGAGGCTTTGATGAGGCTCCCTTCAATGGGACTGAGCACACCTATTTGAAACAGACATTCTGATGAAATACTTGGCAAGGCAGAACCAATTTCCACAGTGAGAAACTAACACCCACACCCACACTTATTAGTTCACGCTTTCCCTAACAATGATTCTTTTCTTGTCATGTAGACACGACCTACAAACAATATAATTATTTAGAAAAAGTACACCTGAAAACGCAAAATTCAAGGTTAAGGAAATATATATGATAAATGCAGTGACCTGTGCTTTCAGGAGGACACCAAGTAAAATAATAAAACTATTGAGTGAAAGACTCCAATGGTGTATTATTACCCAGAGTCCCAATTTACACTGAAGCTTTTAAACCTACAAAATGAGAAAAGCCTGTGTTTTCACAAAAAAAGAGCTTTAAGATTCTACGGTCAATGCAGGGCACACAAAGGCCACTCCATAATGATGGTCACTGGTCACAGTTCTAGAAAATGAATGACCAGATTCCTCTAAAAGAGAAATAATAGGCAACAAAAATAATTCTAGGCTTTATACATTTTTTTTTTACTCCTCAGTAATTATGCATTCCATGCTTCATTGTGACTTAATTTTTTATCTGAAATGGTATTCATTTCCTTTTTTGCTGCAATATACACACTAATTTGTACATTTGTAGTCTTTATAAAGACATCATCTATTTCTGTTGTCTGTAGTATGATTTGAATTTAAACATTTCTTTCTATATAAAGACTAACATTCTAAATGGCGGGATTTTTATTAAATAAAATAACATGTAGGGGGCATTCAGTGTCTGCTTGTTTTATTTTTCTGTTTCTTGTTGGGAAGATTATTACTCCTTTGCAGTAATAACTTTAGTAGTCCCAAAGCGGTAACTATATGCAAATTTTATAAACAAATTAGACCTGACTTTAATAAAAGTGTGCCCATGCAGAAAGGGGCAAAATACTCACTTTTTATGGATTCAATAAAAATCATACCCTTTAGGTCACCAGAGAACAGTTTTGTGCCTTCGGAGAGATAATTTGCCTTAATGGCCCGAAAGTGACTGAAGCACCATCCCATATAATCAAGTGAAATTCTTTCTTGCTAACAATATTTAGGCTAGATTTGATAAACAACTCACCTACAGGTGATGGACTCTACAAGAGCATTAAACAACATCCACGAAAAACTAAGGACCAATTCCCCGCAATATGAAGATAAACAAAATGCTGATCATCTATTCACCCATGTAGTTCATGCTTCACTACATGGACTTAGAAATGCCAATAAAATAAAACTAAAGGCAGGAGGGATATTCTTACAGAGAAATGCCAAACATACCCTGTCTAACCTTCTAGCTTCTATATGTCTAAGCAGCTGTTGTCTCCAGTCTGCAGGCATTTTACCACAGCTCTCCTCTCCCTTCACAGGAGTGGGCCTCGTCTTTATATCACTGTTATCTGATGGCTTGTCACCATAGTTACCCAAGTTATAGTCAGATGGTATTTTTTCCAAAAGAGCTGCCATAGTAGGCCTAGCTGAAACTGGTCTGGTTTGGGAGGCACCGTAACTCTCTGTACTGTAGCTTCTTGCAGACAATGGCCTCCTCTGGGTAAGGTTTTTAACCGGAAAACTTCCCGCCTGAGCTTTCACTTCTTGATATGAAGGGTGTTCGTCTTCATACCTGCCATTCCTTTTCAGGAACTGGGACTCAGTCACTGAAACGCTGCTTTGGCGATCCAGACCGCCCCTATACGGAGGTCTGCCGTACCGATCGCTCGGAGGCAGCTCGTGCGGTTCACTGACCCTTCTAAACATGGCCATTTCTGTGGCGCTCACCAGGGAGTCGGCTCTTCGCAAGAAGCCTGCCCTGGCCCCTTGGCTTGCAAACTGGGCATTCACCATAGCATCCTCATTGACAGATGGCTGGGAGAAGGAGAACATCTGCTCCATGGGCGGGTACCCTCTGTAAGCTCTCGGACTGATGAGATCCTTGGCGAGGCTCTTGCCGGGCGGCTGCATGTATTCGGCATTGTGTTGAAAAGGGGGCGGCATCCTCTTGTCGGCTTTCACTTCCACTGCTCCTTGGGGATTGAAGCTTTGGTCGAACTGGTAGACTTTCTTGGTCATGGACGCTTTCTGTGGTTGGGGCCCTTTACTGCCTCCATACGTGAGCATCTCGTCGTCCAGCATCGGGACCGACTGGCTGCGAGACATGCTGGACATGCCGTGTTCGGGCCCCAACAGCTTATCCGGTCGCTCGTGGCTCCCTAAGTGATCGCTTCCAGAAGCATAGTTTTCCAGTGGGATGTTATAAACCTTGTAGGTGCCAATGTCAATTTCATCGATACTCTGTGACTTTTTGAATTTGTTGGACTTAATGTCTTTCATGAGTGGGGACAGCCTCTCTGTGCTTTTGCTGATGGGAATGCCTTTAGAAGATTCCGGGCGGCAGTGGATTTGCGAAAAGACGTTGCCAAGACTCCTGTTGGGATTGGAATCGTGATACTCCCATGGTAGTCCTGGAGAAAAAGGACTAGGTATGTCAACGGAGTCTTTCATATGTTCTTTCCTTTCAGGCAATGGGCTGGTGGTGGGGGTGGTCTCTAACTTGGAAGGGAAAGCGGTCCTGTCTTCAAAAGGGCTAGGAGTCCTGGTCCAATTCTGCCAAGGATTGGAAGGAGGCACTTCTGTTTCCGGCGTGTGTCTGTTTGCAGACTGCTCAAGCTCCAGGGGAACTCCGACAATCCTGTCCTGCCTGATCAAAGGCCTGCGTCCATGAGCAGGTGGGTTTCTAGATTTGGAACCTAAGAGAGGATTGCTGTTGGCATTCTCGCCTGTGGTTTCCTCGCCAACAAACCCTGTGTTATCATAATGTGAGCCATCAGTCCAGTTGTCAGTGAAGGTGTCACTCATTGGCAGCCGGTCAGGGCGCTGTGGTAGATTCCCTGGGGGAACAGCCTCCCGCTGGCTGAGTAATGGCTTTGAATCAAGAGGCTGTGGGAAAGATTGTGTAATCCTGTAAAGACAATGGGAAGAAGTATGAAAATGGGTCTTTGCCAGAAAGGGAGCAAGCAGTCAAGAATGTCACCGTCCTTTGTTGAACTGCTCATTCACCCATACCTCTCTTATGATTAAGACCTCACTACCATTTCATGTCCAAAAAATCCACCCTTTACCCTGCTCTGACTTTAATTTCTTCCTAGTAATCAACAACTTCTAACATACTATATATTTTAGTTATCTATTATATTGTGTATTATCTTGTGTCCTCTGCTAGAATGTAAACTTACTAGTATGAGGGCAGAGATTTTTTTTTCTTCAGGCCCACCATTGTGGCTGGCACAGAGTAGGTATTAAAAATATATTTGTTGAGTGAATGAATGAATGAATGAACTATACAGTTCTTTGGTATTGGTCTTGTAGCCTGTCTGATAATTAGAATCACCTGACTCCTGGTCCCAGTTCCTGGAATTTCTGATTCATGACATTTACAAACTATTGGTCGAGCGTACCTGTTCTGTAAATGCTTGGTGTGCCTAATAAACCCAAACTGTCTTCAAATAAAATTTATTTGAAGACCAGGTATTGAAAATATTAAACCCATTGCATAGGGAACATACTCATGTACAGTGGGGCCTTGACTTATGAGTGTCCCAACTAACGAGTTTTTTGAGATATCTCGGCCTATTTTTTGCTTTGATTTGCGAGCTAAAATTCGGGTTACGAGCCAGCTTCAGATACCCCACCGCTAGCTGGCGCAGTGAACGTCACAGCGAACGCCACAGCATCAGCCCAGCATCATGTGTCTCACTCGTTCACTTCTTGATTTGACATACGAGTAATTTGAGTTACGAGCTCCATCACGGAATGAAATAAACTCGTAAGTCAAGGCCCCACTGTATCTTTATCTAGAATGCATATTGTATTATGTTCTATTTGACTCTATTATATTAGAGGCCCAGTGCACGAATTCATGCACCAGTGGGGTCCCTTGGCCTGGAGTTGGGATTGGGCTGAAGTTGGCTCTCTGACATCCCCCAAGGGGTCCAGGATTGCAAGAGGGCACAAGCCAGGTTAAGGAACTCCACCGGTGCACCATCGGGGCTAGGGAGGGAGGGATGGGGGAGGTTGGCCAGCCAGGGAGGGACTGTGGGAGGGCTCCAGGGCATGCCCGGCCCATCTTGCTCAGTCCCAATCAGCTGGACACCAGCAGCAAGCTAACCTACCCATCAGAGCGTGTGCCCCGATGGTCAATGCATGTCATAGCACTTGGTTGACCAGTCGACTGTTTGCCCCCTGGTGGTCAGTGCATGTCATAGCGAGTGGTTGAGTGGCCTTAGCATATCATTAACATATTATACTTTGATTGGTTGAACAGCTGACTGGTAGACTGGACACTTAGCATATTAAACATTTATTATATAGGGTGACTTTTGGTCATTGGCATGTTCATACCAGTGACCACAGTATGTCTAGAAGATGTCAATTTTTTAAAACCATTTGTACAATAATAATATTGAATTATATATCTTTTATCAGTGAGCAAAAGACTTTTAAGTGTTTTTGCTAATGAAAAAAGTACCTAAATTAATCTCAGCTTATAGAAAAAAAATAATGAATTTATAAGGAGTTAAGAGTTAATATTATCATGGGCATCAGTGAATAGAAAGTTATTTATTAATTACCAAACAATTTATGGCCAACAGTAGTGACAGTATCAGTAAAATATGAATGAAAGTCATTGTTTAGTTATATCATACTAGTGGCCCAGTGCATGGATGCATGCACATTGAAAGGAAATTAATTAGAAGGTGACTGGCGGGGTGGGACTGGGTGAGATGGGCCGGACACACCCTGGAGCCAACCTTCCTCGGTCCCTCCTTGGCCAGCTGCACTTGGGGCAGAGCTGTGGCTCAAAGGGCATCTGTGGAGTGAGCGGGGTCCCTCTGGCAGGTTGGGTCCATTGGCCTGTTCTGCGGGGCCTGCGGGGCCTGCAGGGCCTGCGAGGATTGGGCTGAAACTGGCTTTCCAACATCCCACAAGGGGTCCCGGAGTGCGAGAGTTGTTGTCATTGGGCAGCTCCTGTGTTGAGCATCTGCCTCCTGGTGATCAGTGCACGTCATACCTACCGGCCCGTTGGCTGGTTGCTTAGCCTTTTATATATATATATATATACATATATATATACATATGTATATATGTATATATATATGTATATATATATATAGATGATTATTTTTATTTGCTATTTGTAGTGTAAAACAGTAACAAGTTACAAAACAAGGAATCAGAACTGGGCAAATACTACCTCATCGAGTCACTTTATTGTGGTCTGTGACTTTAGTTGTTTTCGTGCGTAAAATGGAGGTAATATAGAGTAGGATCCATTTTGGAAAGATTAAATACTTTCACCTATATTCTAACTTTTCCAGGTAGTGATAAAATGATGATAGCAATGAAAAGTTTATTGAACGTTTACTTTGTACTAGGCATACAAGGGCTTTACATACATCTTGCTTTAATCCAGTGGTCCTCAGCCTTCTGGCCCTTTAAATACAGTTCCTCATGTTGTGACCCAACCATAACATCATTTTCGTTGCTACTTCGTAACTGTAATGTTGCTACTGTTATGAATTGTAATGTAAATATTCGATATGCAGGATGGTCTTAGGCGACCCCTGTGAAAGGGTCATTTGACCGCCAAAGGGGTCGCGACCCACAGTTTGAGAACCGCTGCTTTATCCATAACACCATTATGAGTGGTGAAATGACTACATAAATATAATAAGTATTGGGAAAAAATTTTTGTTTAAAAATTGTTGTTCTGTTCTATCATCTCAACCTGTTACTAATCTACAATCTCTCCCTTAAACAATGGCTTTGCTTTATAGAATGGATTCAAGGTACTCTTGGAAATCCCAGGGGCCTCTATTTGCTTACCTGCCCCTTCCATTTTCTATGTAACTCATGTGCTGATACAATTCCAAAGTTAAGATGATTTCATTTCAATAAGTTGCTGAAAATAACCATTTGGGAACAGAAAAGAGGGAATTCTGAAAACACACCTGTTACCCCACAAAGAACTATGTACTGCATCTTTAGCTGTTGTCTGCAAGGACCCCACTTTAACCCGGGCGTTAGAGGATCCTGAGGAAGCCTGGGAGGGCGAGTAGTCTGAGTAAGTGCCTGAGGAAACACTGTTATTCAGACAGTGAGTTTTGTCAACTTCAGACTCATCAGTTGATTCTGAAACGTAAAGGGAAAATATTACAATGCTCTGAACACGGACAATTATAAACACAGAAAAGTAAGGATAAAAACAGATAGCATATCGATAAATGTTAGAAGTACATAATTGTAAAATTTTTCTATAGACTATGGTGTATCATAATTTACAACTGGCGATTCATCATGCACATGCATTTGTGGCGTATTTTACACATCAGGTTCACAAGGTTACCTTTTTTGTCCTTCCCTAGCAGAACAAGTTTGGGTGGGTACAGAGGGGTCTCAGCTAATGAAGGGTGAAGCTCCCCAATCCTCATATCATTAGCTGGATGAACAAAAGAATCCTGAGAGATATAATAATATAGGACAAGGAAAGTAAACATTTAAAACAATGGTTAACCAAGATGGCAATACTTTATTTGGTTCAGATTTAAAGATGGGGTTTCTAAAACTTAAATCCCTGTGGAGCACTGGGAGTAGTGAATCCTATGTATCTCTAAGGTAAGCCCTGATTTTTTTTTTAATTTAAATGAATACATTTATTCATCAGACATTTGTTGAATGCTGTTTATATGCCTGACACTGTGCAAAGAACTGTACAAGTTCCAAAGAAAGACAAGATGTCACCCATACTGCTGGGAATTTATAATCTAGTTGGGGAGATGAGATATAACTCATTATAGCACAGGATTCAATTATGATAAGCCTTATATGAGTAATATGATACATATAATATAAGCCATGTAGGAGTTCAAAGGGGAAAACTTCTTAAGAGTTTTAAAAAGAAAGTATATCACTGATTAGCTGGAATTTTTTAAAATCCTTAGCTATATTAATGCAAAACTGGATCCGCTAAGGCTTGCTTTTACCACCAATCTCCCTTTTAATTCCTACTGTTTCCCAAGTGATCCCAAGTTCTTTCATTCTATCATGCTTTGTTCCTAAGCTTTCTCATATCAGTCTAGCCTGCTAAATCTTCATTCTAAATCCATCCATTGAGTGTAATGAGCAACATTGGCATGAGAATAGAACTGTATAATGACAATTTAACATGTAAAAAAATCTATAAATTTACAGCTTCTATAATTCAAATTATTATTCCCAGGTAACCATGTAGTGGTAGAGAATTAGGGAAGACCAAAATACCAAATTCTCACTTTTTTTCTAGATATTTTAAAAAATGGCTTGTCTATGTATCTACTGATGTAAATTTATGCACAGCAGTTATCTTTATGTCTATTGTCCCTTAATATTTAGTTTAATTGGAAATAAAAAATATAATTTTCAGGTTTATTTTCATTTATTAGTACTTGCTAGTTTGGAACATTAATATAACATATTTGGAAATATTTTATTAATTCAGAGAAAGAATATACTTGAGGACAAAAATATAAAAAATGCGCTGGTCCTGCCTGATGATTAATCTGTGAGTAATGATCAGATAGAAGCTCTTATTATAAATGTTATGGTCTCCCTAGTGACAGGCTTAGGGCTTTGGGTATTGCAGAGAAACATCCATTTCTTTAAATCTTGGCTTAAGTTCTATCTTTTGGGTTGTTTTTGGTTAGGTTGATATGGAAATATTTGCCTGTGAAAAACCTGGGTAGACTTGATACTTTTGTTTTTGTGTTTAAAGAATATTTTAGGGGAAGAAGACTAAAGATCATCTAGTTGATCTTTTCATTTCATTTCCTAGAGGTGGATTCTGAGACTCAGCAAGGTTGACACAGACAGACAAAAGCCCAGCATGGAGGCATGATTCCACCGGGCTCTGGTCCAGTGATCTCCACGAATATAGTGCTGCTTCCTGGTGAGCTCAGCTGGGAGAACAGCAGACACTTAAAATGCAGTGTCAGATTTGAAGAGGGATAGGAAAGAGTGGGATTGATGGACATACTGGAGATGAAGAGGAAAATAGGTGTTTTTGTAGATTTTGAAAGTTGTTTCAAAGAAACTTATGACAAAATTTTAAGTTGGAAGAACAGAGAATAAAAGTTTACACATCTTTGGAGAAATGTATAAGTAGAAACAGATGCAAGTTTGATAAGTGGGATCATGAAAGGCATAAAATATATAGACTTTCAAAAAAGTGTCAGTGACAAGGTGGCCTATTTCCATTTTATTCCTGCTTTACCATTTATTGACCAGGTTACCTTGGGAAAGTAAATGTAACTCTCTACATTTTATTCAATTCATCAATAAAATGAAGGTAATTGAAAATAAGAAACTGTGCAAATTTCTGTCTAGTACTAATATTCTATAAGTACAAGTATAGCTTATTTGTTGAAATAATATTAAAATACTCTTATGACATTTAATATTGAAGTACAGGCCTTTTGTTTTAGTCAAAATAACAAACCAAATAGTTGTACAATGCAGAAATGTAAATATAATAAAGGGTTTTACTTTTTTTTCCCATTATGCCTTAGACATTCAATAATTATCTTATATGTTTAGACCAAACTTTCACACTTATACCCCAACTGGTTCATAGATGGCCATCTTCTCTCTGTGACCTCACATGATGTATGGAAGGGGTTAGGGAGCAATCTGGGTCTCTTATAATCTCATTAATGATGGCTCTACCCTTACTAATCACCTACCAAAGAGCCCACCTCCAAATACCATCACATAGGTTTTAACATATTAATTTTTGCGGAGATACAAAAATTCAGTCTGTAGCACCAGCTCTTTAAAATAGCTAGAAATTCCTCATTTTTTAATTTTCAGGATAAAGATTATTACCTCAACAGAAAGGCCTTCCTTGGTCACCCTGATCAATAGGACCCTCTGATCACCCTGCTTATTTGCATTAAATATAATAAAAACATTTATTATTATTTAATTTATTAACTGCAGCCTGAGTTTCGTGAGGGCAGGGCCCACGTCTGTTTTGTCCACTATTGTCCTCTCAGTGTCTAGCACAGTGCCTGCTATAGAGCAGGGGCACAATAAATATGTGCTGAATAAGTGAATGACTGATATGGTCTAATGTTGTAACCCTGGTAACATGTTTTCATCCAATCAGAAGTTTATTGAAGGCCAAAACAGTTTCTCTGAATTTTTCTTGAATTAAGTGTTGGCTGCCATACCTGTACACATTTTATCACTTGTTTGTTGAATCAAATGTATTTTCACAACATCAATCTACCATATGGCCAATAAAATAGAATCCTTCTTAACTCTGATGGTCTAATACAATATATTATGGATATGAATACATTAATATAATATTATGAATAAAGTTAAAATATAGTGATGGAGGATATTGTGGAGTGAGGAATGCAGGGAGAGAGGAGAGAAGGAAGAAGGGAGAAGGGTACAGTGAATAAAGCTCTGACATAAAACAATTAAAGGCCAGAAGTTCCTGAATTCCTGGTATACAAATGCCTTTGGTGTCTTAATAATTTTGATACATGGACCCTAGACTAAAGAAATACCTAACAGTCCCATTTATTAAGTAATTAGGTCCAAACTTGTATATATGTTTATGACCTACTTTGTGATATTTACTTTATGTTTAAATAACCAAAACTACTTATTAATGGAATGTGTGCACCTATTGGACACCACGTCTACCTTCTCAAACCTTGGAATCATATTAGATACTACCACTCTAATTTCTGTTTCACGTTGATTTTCTGGGGACACTTGATGTTTGATCACAGCAACTGCTTCAAGTAACTTTTTAACTGATTGGCAATGATTGCTTATCTCTCTAATTTCTTAGATTATTACATTCTCCATCACACAAGTAACCATATGATCATATTTCATATTATATATTCTCTACTTACTTCATCTTTGTTAAGTGTACCTGGCAAGGCCCTAAATTAGTTGGGGATTATGCACGCATTTTTATATTTCTTCTTTCTCTCTCACAGTGTTTAGCACAGTGCTAAATATACAGTTGGTGTTTAATCAATGCAATAAATTGATGCTCTAAAATGCAGATTTGTAAAAGAGTTTCACCAATCTAGATTTTAGAGAAAGAGGTATAGTAACTTCTAGATGTTTTCATAAAAATTAAGTATCTAATAAAGATAAAAAGGTGATAAGCAAATTATCTGAAGTGTTGATGAGATAGTGCAGAGAGGTGGCATACATGTAGTTGAATTCTTTTCAGAACAAACAAATTGATAAGGATGAATATCTAATACAAAATATGGGACTTAAACTCCCATTACTAGATTGAGAAAAGCTAAATTTCCAAGTTATCTCCCTTTTTTTTTGTTGTTTATAGTAGTGCTTCCTAGAAGATTGTAACCTAAACACAAAAATATTTGAAAAATTTTTGGCTTATAATCTGATCAGGAATTTTACTGAGATTTGCAGAATAAAAAAAATCTTCAGTTAGTCTCTTCTAATGACTCATACAATAAAAGTTTGAGGTTGCCAAAAGACTATCATGAAAATGATATAATGCATGTACTGGCTGGGTGAGCAAATTATTTTTTCTGTGTATATTGGAACTTTTGGAGCTGTATTAATGCTTTTAGGCCATGAGGGTATCACTTATCTGTGATTTATTAAATGCAACTCTCATAGTTTGAAAGAGTAGAGACACTCCATTTATATTTTGGGAAACAAAATGTACTTTTAAAGGAAGATCTATTCAGTTAAAAAAAACCCACACATATGACTTAGTAATTCCGAAAAATCCAAACCACACTGGCAATTACCAATAACCTTGAAATACCTCCATTGTAATCTCCTTTGGGGCTACAGGCCACTTGTGTTCATATTTTTCTTTCACAGTTTGCTCCGTGTTAGCAGTTGGATTTGAATTCTCAATACGCACTCCATGGCTTGGCTTACCCACCAGATTTTGAACAGATTTTACCATATTCTTTAAATCCTCTGGGTAAGGAGTTGGATATCGTTTTAGGTTTATTTCAACCTAGAAGTTTATAAAAAGAAATTTAATATCAAAATACCTTCAGCAAGCATGTTCACAAAACTACTGCACTTTATGTGTAGTAGTAGAACCAAATGCAGTATAGTGAGTGCTGAGCTGGCTGAGAAACTGTTCTGTAGAGTAGAACACTTAGAGTTCTTCTCTTATTCTGCATGTGGGATTTTTTCTCACCCCTGCCCACCCTTCTAGATTAAATACAATTTTTGGATTATATCCTATCTTTAGACCTACCCTATAATGGTTGAAATAGCAGTACATCCAACACTTAAGTGACAGTTAATCTCTGAAAAATGTAATTGTGACTCTCATTTGCTTTTATATTTTCTTGAGAGGCTGTCCTTTTCCCTACATAAATTATTTATAAGTAATTATTTTGATATTAAAAATATCAATGCAGGTGATGAAGGAGACCCCAAAAGATTTATAAGTAGGATGAGTTATCACTTATTTAAAAACTCAGGAGGGGACAATATCTGCTACTCAAATATGCTTCCGCTTTCTGTTAATTGGTATGTTACATCAAAAGGTAGGGTAGCTAATTCTTGTTAACATTTAAGAAAACATATTTCAGGGTGGCTTTAAATTTAATTTTTACCCTAATAAAGTAACATGCTTTGTAGATAGTGTCTTACACTAAAGAGAAATAAAAAAATTTTCTAAGACATTCTAGGCAAACGTAAAATTTGGCTTATGTTTATTCAGATATTATTTCTATACTTGAACTCCTCTTTGGTGTATTAATCTGACTTTAGAAACATATATTAATGATTATTTTTCCCATTTAACTTAGAGAGAGAAAATGTAAGATATTCCATATAGAATATTGAAACATCAGAGTACTTACATGGAATAGATAAAAACTGTTCATGCTGATTAAAAGGGAGCAGGAGGAAAAATAAGGGGCAGATTTACTTGGCCAGGCTTGTTCCAAAAATTATGCCTTTTTGTATCTGAGTAGAACCAACTTTACAAAATGGAATGGTTTATGTGATTGTGGCGAGTATGTGTCTGTGAAAGTGTGTGGGGGTTGAGGAGGAGCAAGTGGAAGAGAAGTTGAAGGAGGAAGAGTGGGAATGAGAGAGAGAAAAAGAAAGCGGGAAGGGCACAGGTATATACACCCCCACACACCCATGTAATTCATGGGATGTAAGAAACCATGATAGTGGTATAGATCTGAGGATTATGAATATGAAATCAAACACTTTTGCTCATCTGCAGTTTTAGCAAATCCACCAACTTTGTTATTCTAGTGTTTCGTCTTTCTTTTGGCTCATTTTCCTTCTCAAATATTGGCATTGGATGATTTCTAACATTCCTTTCAGTAAAAAATACAAAATTATTTTCCCAGTTACTTTGGAAAGCTGATGAAAAACCAGATAATTAATTTTGCTAGTGTATGTATTGTTTAAATGTAATTTAATCTCTTATACTCCCAAATAAATAAGGATGACATTAATAATATATAGAAATTAAGTTATAAAAATATAACTCAAGAAAAAGTTCGACTTTACAGAAAAAGTGTAAGTTGTTAGAGTGTAATATAAATATATTTCAGGGCACTTAATTTATATGCATTCTTAAATAAACATAAAAAGAATGATATCAATGCTAGACAAAGTCTATTGGGATGCATGCATCTTGGATCTGCTGTTTAAACTGTAGTAGAAATGTTAATCACTAATTAAATCTAAGTTTAAAATTTTATTGTTGAACTTGTTTAAAAGCATTTGATATCAAAGGACTAAAAAGCAAATACTACATTTAAAACGTAAACTATAGAATGGTACAACTATAATGCCAATTAAAACATCTTTTAATTTTTAATAATTAGCAACATATGAATGAGAAATAATTCTCAAGTAGGGCACTAAGTTAAAATTCTATGTTCCTTAAAATATCTTCAATGCTGAAATTGCTTCTAATTAAATCAAAGGGAAAAATGTGAAGCATTCTTCTTTAATTGAATTAAATACTTCACTGAATAATGTAATATATTTTTGTAGATGCTATGTCCCATCTGACACAATTATATGGCTATTTACTAATGGCTACAGTACGAATATTTTCTGTTTATTTTATAAGCAAATTAATGCAATATTTTGTTCACATCACCAGAATATGTTTGAGTATTTCATCTCTATAAGTATTTTTAAATCTAGAAACAGAAGTGGATTTACCATGAAGTTAATGAAGCTTGTGCTTTAGGGCCTGTCACTTGCATGGGTTGCTTCCAAAGCCTTGTGAGAGGCCCTGCTTATGTATTACACAGTTATTTTATATTCTTTTCCTTAAAGAGGCCCCTCTTAAAACTGTGGAAACTTCAGGTCTCATAAAACTTAGATTTGTTCTATCTATACAATAAGCTCCTTGCTTTCCATTTATTAGTCTACCAGCAGAACCTAAATTTAAGCCAGATTTCTACTTATATAATACTAGAGGCCCAGTGCATGAAATTCATGCACAGGTAGGGTCCCTTTGGCTGCTGGCTGGGGCCTTCCTTTGTTCCGCCCTGCCCCCTGGTGGTCAGCACATGTCATAGCAAGCAATCAAACTCCCGGTAGGTTGAACTCCAGAGGGGACATTTTGCATATTAGGCTTTTATATATATAGATGGGAGTGATAATGTCTCTCCCACACGCTTATGCTAATCTGGAGCTAAAAGGAGATAATAAATGTGATAGTCCTTTGAAAATTTATAGATTCTATGCAGAGGTTAGATACTGTTTCTAATATATTCTATTTATGTATTTTTAAAATCTGGATTCCTTTGGTAATATAGATTCTACTATATATGTCTAACTGCAATACCATACTGAGTGATTTTTTTTCAGATTGCATGCAGCAACACTATCATTTATTTAGTATTTGCCATGTGTTAGGCACCAGGCAAAATGTTTTATAAGGATATTTAACTTATTATTAGCTATTTATATAATACACATTTCATTATTTACCACAATTTTAAATATAAATAATAAATTATTAATTAATAATTATGATAAATTATAATTACATATCATTTAATTTTCACAAGTCATTATAGCACCTGTTCCTATTTAATGGAAAAAAACAACAACCCAGGGCTCAAACAGTATAAGTTTCTTGCCCAAGATCACATTGCTAGTAGGTATCAAAGCCCAAATTCAAACTCAGGCCTTTCAGTCAAAAGTTTATGCTACACAAATATTACTTGACTCAGAGCTATTCTCTGGTACAGGTGTGGCACATATTTGTACTCTCTTGTGGAAGAAATACTATAAGTCTAAAATTTTAATTTTATTGATTAAATAACATAATTTCAATTTTTTACAACATGAAGCTAACATGATAGTTTATAATTTATTTTTAAATTAAACTATAATTTTATAATTTTGTTATATTTGTAAGCTCTGTAAAAGCATATTTTATACCATTTCCCAGATTGTTTTTCCTTTCTACTCTTCAACTCATGTGTGCTGTACTTCAGAAATGAACAAACATGATCATAAACACAATTATATTAATAGGTCAGCAATGCCCAAATACAAAAGCAGTTTCTTTATATTTCTAAATATGTAGGCTAGGAATATTCCTTTATTCTAATATAGGATAATTATATATGTTCATTCACTTATTATACACATAGGTGGGAAAAATCTGTCAATTATGCTCTTACCAAAATGTTGTGTATATCACTCACCATAAAGTATTTGCTCATTTCACATATACATTTTACTAAAATGCAAAATTTTTACTGAAATGCTATTTTACTTAAATTTTGGAAAATATAAGCTTTTCATAAAATTCTATATATCTTAGATCTAAATAAAGTGCAGTAAATGCAAATAGCAGCTGCAAGATGTTGGAGACTCCCCCAAAATGTAGCAATGAAGAAAGAATTAGTGTTAATAGCTAGGGCATTTAGAAGTGATACTTGAATTCACACAGAACTGTGCTTTTCTTATATAATGATTAAATTCTATTTTGATTTGTTTGTAAATTCCAGTAAGAGAAATAATAGTTAATGCTATGATTATTAATTGTTAAATATCTTATTCTAGGAATTAATTAGAACATTTTACACACAAAGAAAACATATAGCAGTTTTAGTTAGGAAAATGCATTCTCAGCTTGCCTTATATTGCAGAAAAAATATAAGACAATAAGAATCTAGTCCATTACATGTGGATGGTAAAGTTTACAAAAAATGCAGTGTTCTTTCACATCCCATCAAGACTTTTCCCCCCCACATTAAACTCTTGAATCCAACCCACAGAGATAAAGAAACCCTATTTGCCACAACTCCCAAACCAATCTTCTCTTACAGGAATTCTCATCATCTGTGCCTTCAAATTAAAGGTAAATTGATGCTTTTCAACAGACACCATCTTTGTGCTTAAAGTTCACTCTCAGCAAATCTCAATTTAAATCTCATTCTATTTTAAGAATCAAGTTTAGTTATTTAATCTCCCCCAGAATTAATATTTTTTAAAAATGTATGCATGTGTGAGGACAATTTAGATTTTTCTCAACAGCGTCATCAACATTCTGCTTGACTATTGGTATTCCCACACTTTAAATAAAAAGAAATCTTTAAAAATAAAAACATAAAAAATGAAGCACCCACCTCAAAAACCATGCCAGTTACCCCCCCATTAGGCACTTCATATTATGTTCCCTCCCCTCTGACTCAGGTCTCCCCGCCCCATTTCCAATGTCAATGAACAAAAATTAAATGGGGATCAAACATTGGCAGTTGGTAAGTTTCTATGATCAACATTTCTTACCCCAAATCATGCAGAACATACCCCTTAAACCACTGTTCCAAGGTTGCCTCTACATGGGGGATTCTCCTACCCCAAACACCTAGGCCTACCTGTCTGCCACTTAGAGAGGGAAGAGTGGTGGATTGTGCTGCAACTGGCAATGGAGTGCACATGCTCCTTTCCTGCTGGAGGCCACTTATACAACCCCATGCCAGCTGTGGGTCATTCTGGGGGACGGGCATATCTTGGATCTGCTGATCACACCTGGCCCATGGTGTGCAGCAATCGCCAGACAGTCTGGCAGGTTGGAGAGTAATCCCACGCTGGCCCCTTTCCCAGGGGGCTTGGCAGGAGTGATCCTGTGGGAGAAGGAATCTCCATTTTCTGGGAGAAAGAGGAGCACTGTAGCAATACTTTCACTTTATCATTTTTCTACTCTTGATTTTTTTTTCATTCTGGGTAATGCATTTAAAATAACCATCAGAAAAATTAGTTTTAATTCCTGTAATAAAATGGTACCAATATCATATGAAGCTAAAGTGTTGCAATTTCTTCACACAAGGCAGCATTCATATTGCACTGTACACACTATCAGTAAGGCATTATAGTCTAGTCCATTTGGAAGTTGGTGGCATAGGTCACTGGTTCCTTTTTAAATTGTATGTAAATTAAAGGTAAAATTGTGTGAGGTTGAATGTACATGTAATGAACCAGAAAAGTGTGATTTAGTTTAAGATTTCAGCATATTCCATGCATCATATTTTCTATGATGATTTATTTAGAAGTTTGTTTGTGTTCTAATTTGTCTAATAGCCAATGGCATTGGAAATATTCAAACTAGTCAAAGTAAAGTAGAATGAGATTTAGGAAACACATATGGTTTTACCAAAATATAAATAAAGCAAATATAAATGAACACAGAGAAAAATGCACTCTAAAATATAATGAATGTACTCTGATTATAAATAGACCTGAGCACATAACACACAAACAGGACTTCTAAATAATTGTTTGCATTGACTATATTTTATGTTTTCATTGTCACATATGCCAGAGTATATTAAATATACTCTTTTCCTCTTGGATCCTTTGAATATAGATTTTTAGGAAGAAGTGCATAGTTTTTTACATCGGTGGAGTAAAACAATGAATCAAAGGTCCAGTATAGAATGCATCACCCACTGGTTCTGGATCTAATGTATAAGATCCTAAAGGTTTTTGTTTTTTTTTAGCTTGGTATTATTTTTTCTAGGAATTCACAATAAAAAATGTCTCTGGTTCTTAGATAGCACTAATTAACAACCCAGAAACATTTTTTAACTCAGATTTTTAACAGAATTATCATTTTGATTTGGAAATCCATATAGATATGCTCTGTCAATTACCTTACTGTCTAATTCTAATAAGGTTCCAAAGTGTGTTGGTATAAAAAAAGTTTATAAAATGTGGAGAGGACAGAGAAAACACATTATACAATCTAGATCTACTAATAGAATAACTATACAATTACCTAGGAAATTAGTACCCATGATAAAAAAAAAAGTGTACAAAGAATGCCATAAAAATAATGAGAGATTCAAGATGTTGTTACAACGATAATATAAAGATCTGATATTGATAAAATCTATATCAATTCTGATCTTTTTAAAGTTAATGAAAAATATAGATTTTAAAATTCAACCTCATTACTTGACTTAGATTGGTTCCAATAAAAGATTTTAAAAAATATGCTTTAGAGTTAAAAAAAATGAAGTTGTTTTCTCTAAGGAACATCACCTGTTGTTAGCCCTCACCTCCTTTAAAATATGTCCTCGTACTTAAGAAAACTCATCAGTTCTTCTTAAAATATCCCAGTAACATAGAATCTTTCAGAGATTTTAATACCAATGTACTATATTCATCCATCGGCTCTTCAATAAATGTGTAATTTGGTTTCAACAGTCTGCATGATGTTTTGTTCAGTGATGAAAAAACACACATTTCAGTGTATCAAAGGATATATAAGATGCTCAGGAAAAGCCCATCACCCAGATTTTTTTCCTGGCTTTTTCTCACCTTGAATCTCTTTCATGCTATTCTGTAAGATGAACTGGGACAGTCTTCTCATTCTCAAGCAAAACAATGCTTTCAGAATTACCATTCTGCTATAACGAAAGGTACCACCCTGAGACTTAAAGATGTATCTGACCATCTAGCAGGGGTCACTCCATTTGTTTCAAAATCTATTTGAATAAGAACATTGAACAAGCAAAAGTAAGAAACAACAATTAAAAGGTTCACCTTAACTTTCCCAGCATTATCGTCATCTTCCTTTTTGTCTTCAAATTCAAAGGCAACAGTCATGCGTTGCTGTCTCTGCTCTTCCCACAGTGTCGGGTTAAAGCTGTCACTGTCTGACTGGAAATCTACAGTTAGATTTCAAAAGATTGTTGCTTACTTTTACATAAAGTGTTTTTAATAGAGCTTAGTACACTATGCAAACAATGGTGATAGCTACTACAAACAAATACAAAAATTTTTTAAAAGGGGAAAAAAACAAAGAAAAAAGGGATATAATAAAGAAAGGAAAAAAAAGGGAAAGAGGAGGAAAGTGGGAATAAAATTCCCTTGATATTTGTTACATGGTCTTTAAAATATATACTAAAAAATATATATATTATTGTTTTCAGAGAGGAAGGGAGAGGGGGAGAGAGAGAGAGAGAGAGAGAGAGAGAGAGAGAGAGAGAGAGAGAGAGAAACATCAGTGATGAGAGAGAACCATTGATCAGCTGCCTCCTGCGCACCCCCTGCTGGGGATCAAGTTCGTAACCTGGGCATGTGCTCTTGACCAGAATCGAACCTGGGACCCTTCAGTCCACAGGCTTATGCTCTATCCACTGAACCAAACCAGCTAGGATGGTCTTTTAATATCTTAACACAATTCAGGTTTCCTAAGTATACTTTAATTATATATTGAGGTTGGGAAGTTTCCAGTGTAGAGAATGAGCTCTTCATAGGACAAAAATAATAGTCGGACTAAACATTTTTAAATATTATCTGTTTTAATCCTTAATCCTCACCTGAGGACTGCTTAGAGCAGTGATGGTGAACCTTTTGAGCTCGGCGTGTCAGCATTTTGAAAAATCCTAACTTAACTCTGGTGCCATGTCACATATAGAAATATTTTTATCTTTGCAACCATAGAAAAACAAAGATTTATATTTTTGATATTTATTTTATATATTTAAATGCCATTTAACAAAGAAAAATCAACCAAAAAAAATGAGTTCGCGTGTCACCTCTGACATGGGTGTTATAGGTTCGCCATCACTGGCTTAGAGAGAGGAATGGAGAGAGAGAGAGAGAGAGAGAGAGAGAGAGAGAGAGAGAGAGAGAGAGAGAGAGAGAGGCATTAATTGGTTGCCTTCAGTATCCCAGGTACGTGCCCAGACCTGGAATCGAACCAACAACCTTTCAGTGTACAGGAGAGGCTAAAATAACTGAACCACTTGGGCCAGGTTTATCTTTTTAATCTTCACAACAGCACAATGGTAATACTAACATCACCCTCAATTTACTAATGAGAAAACTTTATTTGAGTTTTAAGACTTGCTCAAAGTCATGCAGTTTCCCTGTGGTGTATACAGGATCCTGTTCCATGTCTGTGTAATTACAAAGCCCATATTTTTAACTACTAAACTGTGTCTGGATTTTATAAAAGGTATTAACTATATAACAATGGTTTTGTAAAGTGTCTAAGATTGCACCATTGTGTGTGTTGGGGGTAAGGTGGAGTCAGGGTAATGGAAGGGAGTTTATTTTTAGGGTAACAAACGTGAAAAATTTAGTCTTTAACATGAAGGTCTAAATGTGTCTCAACTTAAGGGAAAATAAATGGCTTATAAATCTTTACATCAAATTGTTGGCTAATGATAATATCTTGTTTTTTTTGTTGTTGCAAGGTTCTGAAAATTCACTTAATACACGTCTGCCTGAAAAACCAGAGGGTGAGTTGCTTAAAGTTCAAGAAAATTGTTCTAACACTAACTCTACTTTCCAAAGGAAACTAAAGCAAAACAAGGCTAATTCCTTAACATCACCTTACCTAAGTAGATCCTCCTCACTCCCTGTAACAAATTAGAAATTTAATCTGTGAGACTGGATCTCAGAAATAACCAGTGAATATAAGGCAGTTTCATTTTTCTTTACATCTTTTTAAGAGAAATATTTTGATAACGTAGGGATATTAAAATGTAAATATAAGTAAAGGTAGATGAATAAAACATAATTCTTATAAAAGTCTTTTCTTATATCATCTATAAACATGGTGGCTTTCTTTCATAAATTCAAAAGATCAATTTTATTAAAGCCTGAAAAATGCATATTAAAGTGACTCTTTCCTTATCCTACTTCTGTAAGTCAAATATGAATAAAAATATCCTAAAATATTTTAAAATGATTCATTTATGTTCATCTATCAAAGACTAAAGATATTTCTTATAATTATCCCTGATAATGAGAAATACATATACCAATAATTTATTTTAAAAGTTAGTCTCATTAAAGTGGATTGAGTGAATTTAACTGACTGGTGGATTACAGTGGATTTACTCTTTTAAGAATGACAGTGACATAAGACTAGAAAATGTGCAGGAGAGCCTGTGCTGTCGTGGGCTAAGTGGCCTATGCTGAGTTCCAAATTGTAAAGGGCAACACTGTTTTACTAGTAAGCACTGTATGAATAATGTGGCCATAGGATAGAAGATTTAATTATTGGAAAAGGTTTAGGTTTTTCAAAAAGTACTCCTATCATAATTGCTGATGTTGTTTAGGGGTAACTCAACTTGAAAAAGAAAGAACAGTCATCATTTGCAGGTCATCTTTTTGTGGTTGACTCTTAACATGAAATAATTTGGGGGCTGGGATCATTGGATTAAATGTTTAAATTTCATTCATGAAATTAGTGAACACAGGAATTAAACCAGCTTTGAAAATCTTCCTTAAGATCTGACTCTTCTTCGCTCATTTCAATGAGCTGGGTACCACATTTGGTCAACTAATCCTGGGCCTTGTAATCCATCAAGAGAAGAAGTCGATCCTAAAAGTCAATTTTCTTATGACAAAGAGAGAGAGTTATGTTTTTGGAATCTTACTTAAAATATTATAGTGTGAAGATAAGATTCATACTTAATAGCTAACCTCTAAATGATTGATGTAAGTCATGTAATGATCTTTATACCCTTGCCCACTTGTTAGTATTCCTGGGCAAAGATCAGAAGAAAATGATTCTCTTTGGTCCATTATTATATAAGTTTGGGAGACATTTCTACTGACAATTTACCTTCATCGCCACGAGGTTGCTGGGGAAACATGTAGTTAGTCAATACTCTTTGCTTTGTTTCTGGATGGGCTTCAGTTTGTAAAGGGATAAGGGCTTTGGACTGGAAGCAAAAAAAAAATACAAATTAGATCAATTAGCTAGCAAATATGCAGAATATTTATTTTATGTATGATAATGATCAATAGTCTGGACTCAGCAAGCTAAATGAAAAATTAAAAGAAAAGCAAGGAAAAAGTAATGAAACTAGAAATTATAACATAAACTAAGACTATTGCTGGGAATATTTTAAAGTTCTAAGGTATTCACAATGAAATGTTCTTTTTCTCTAGTATATTCTTTTACAAAATTATCCATCCTCACTGAGCAATGTCAGTTTCAATCCTGAAGAGACCAAAAATGTATTAAATTGTTTAAAATAAGTAAGCTTTTGGTATGGCTCTGTATATCCATTCATTTTCAAAAGCTGTTGTCCAAAAAGCACCAAATGGAATTTGCTATCAAATTCATGCTATGCAAGATAATCAATGAAATTAATTAGGTTAAAGCATAAGCATTTATATTTGAGAGCTATTTTGTAACCAAAGACAGGGTCTTAATATATTGACTTATGGATGGTTATGTATCATTCTTTATTAATTAATTTGAGTTCAAAAATACTATTATAAAGGGGTTTTTAGAACTCTGATATTATATATTACTAGGGGCCCAGTGCACGCATTCATGTACATTGAAAGGAAGTTAATTAGAAGGTGGCCAGCGGGGTGGGAGTGGGCTAGACAGGGTGGATATGCCCTGGAGTCAACCTCCTGTGGCCCCTCCCCGGCTGGCCACACCTGGGGTGGCGCCGGGGCTCGAAGGGTGTCTGTGGAGTGAGTGGGGTCCCTTTGGCAGGTGGGGTCCCTCGGCCTGGCCTGTGGGGATCGGGCCAAAACCTGCAGTCTGACACCCCCTGAGGGGTCCTGGAGTGCAAGAGGGTACTCTGCAAAGTTGCTGTCTCTCAGCAGCTCCGGTGTTGAGCATCTACCCGCTGGTGGTCAGAGCACATCATATCTACCTGCCAGTCACTTAGCTTTTTACATATATATACACTAGAGGCCTGGTGCACGAAATTTGTGCACTCCGGGGGGAGGGATGGGGTTCTTTTAGCCAGGCCTGCGCCCTCTCGCAGTCCGGGAGCCCCATGATTGATTGCCCTGCAGAGGGAGGCCCTGCCCACCGCCGCTGGCTGGGTAGCCTGGGCCTCCCTCTTCAGGGCGATCGTGGAGCCCCCTGGGCGGTGGCCTGGGCCTCCCTCTGCGGGGCGATCATGGGGCGATGGTGGGGTCCCTCAAACAATCGCATAACACCCGCCTTGGCGGCTGCAGTCAGTGCTGGGTTGCTGTGGCGCCTGCAACCCAGGAGGGACCAAGAGGTCAGCAGTTTAGCCCACTCACCAGTACCTGCCCATCCGAGCCTGCTGCACACGCAGCCTGGCATTCAGTTGTCTGTTCAGTCATTTTGGACGTTACAGACCCTGGCTCTTTATCTATTACAGTGGTTCTCAACCTCCCTAATGCCGTGACCCTTTAATACAGTTCCTCATGTTGTGGTGACCTCCAACCATAAAATTATTTTCATTGCTACTTCATAACTGTAATTTTGCTACTGTTACGAATCGTAATGTAAATATCTGATATGCAGGATGTATTTTCATTGTTACAAATTGAACATAATTAAAGCATAGTGATTAATCACAAAAACAATGTGCAATTATATATGTGTTTCCAATGGTCTTAGGCAACCCCTGTGAAAGGGTCATTTGACCCCCAAAGGGGTCGCAACCCACAGGTTGAGAACCGCTGATCTATTAGGATAGATATATATGAAAATATACTGGAAATTATCATTTTATCTAATGTTTTAAAAATTGGCTTATTTCATGACATTTATTAATAGGAATGAAGCTCAAAGGGATTTGGGATATCAACGTGTCTCATGAAACTGAGTCAGAAACACATTAAATCACTCTTCTAAAAAAAATTAAATGATGCAGTCACTGTTCTGTTTATTCTCTACAAGAATAATAAATCATGATATTAGGGGATTTTTTTTTCACAAGGCAAGACTGAATAGACTGTTTCATTACCATAATTCACATTGATTCCAGAAATGCTTTATTTATAATGATATACTGATGCCTTGAAAGATCTGTAGTTCATTGATAAGATTTGAATTTGAATGCTAATCTAATATTTTAGTCAGTAGATGGAAGCAAGTGCTGAAATAACTATAGAAGCACAAACATTATTCTTACACTTACACTCTACACTTTGTAAAGGTTTATTTTAATTTTTCACAAAAGTAGCCCAATACCTAGAAATCTGAACAATGCTGTTTTCATGCTCAGGAAATGATGACAAACTAAATTCAACATGATTTTTTTTTCCACTTGGCTGTTTGTATTTTGGGATAAGTGTTTTAAAATTTTAGGATTATAAGAAAAGAGTAAATGAGTACTAATAAACAATGTCAAAATTGTCTATCATCAATTTTTCTGGTGACAAATCAGATGTCTTCAACTCTTTCTTGTTACTTTCCAGTTAATAAAATTATTACCAATTATAATCTAACTTCATGAGAAAAGAAATATCAAAGCAATGTTACAGAAAATGCTGATAATAATTGCAAAAGATACCTGCAAATTTCTTGAAGTTCTAGAAATAAGTTGATTATAATTAAAAATATGAGAAAAAAGGAACATAGAGGATAATAATTCCCTCTTGTGGGGATTGTGGTAATAATTTCTTATTCTTTACCTTCAAAGGCATAATTAAAATATGTCCTCTAAGGACATATATGTGCCATCTACAGCTAAAAAGCTATAAAAATGATCATTTTGTATATTAGATCTCTGAGAATGAAATAGATACTAAATTGAAGCATTAAAAGAGGTTGGGAATTATAGTTCTATTTTGTGTGCAGCAATGAAATACATATTTGAATTGCTACCTTTACAAAAATCTCCCCTCCAGAAGATAAAGAATCTATATTTTATACTAATTGTCAGAGGTATCTATTGTTAAAAAAGTTAGTAATTCAAGTTTCAATTATAGTTCATTTTAATAAACAAAATAAATCAGGTAATAAAAGTTGTTACCTGATTGTCAGAAAGCCACAAAGCTGCAAGCTCCTTAAGTTTGGTAAATGAGAATGGTAAATTCTTCAACCTGCAAAAAACAAGAAAATTTTAATAGCATGGGTACAGATGGATATAGTTCATTTTGATAAAGAATTGTTTAAAATACTGTAACATTGATTTAATTCTTCTTCTCCTAATTCTTTCTCCATTGAGTGGCCTGAGCTATCTTTAAAAAGTAAAAACTTCTTTTTTATACCCTATAAATGCTTTCCCTGTAGCTAGGATAAAATCCAAAATTTCATCCATGCCTTTAAGATCTTACAAGATCTGGCCCCGAGTCTCTCCATAAGCTTCTGCTACTCTTTTCCTGACTTGGTCCCATCAGTACCACTGGCATTTTCTCAGCCTGCTAGGAAGGTAAGCCAAGCTTATCTCTTTCTCTAGCATATTCTTTCTCCCATAAGTCACTTGACTAAATCCCACATATCCTTTAGCTCTTAGCTTAAATGCCATTTTCTTCAACAGGCTTTTTCTTTATAAAATAATATATTTTTTATTGATTTCAGAGAGGAAGGGAGAGGGAGAGAGAGATACAAACATCAGTGATGACAGAGAATCATTGATCAGCTGCCTCCTGTATTGAGCCCACTGGGAACTGAGCCCACAACCCAGGCAAGTGCCCTGACCTAGAATTGAACCATGGCCTCTTGGTTAATAGGTTGACACTCCAACCACTGAGCCACACCAGCTGGACAAGAGGCTTTTTCTTGAGTACTCATTTAAATTATTTTTCCCAATCTAGTCACAAAGCACGTCATATTTTTCTTCCTTAAACATATCACAGTTTGTAATTATATATTTATTTTTGTGATAAAAACAAACAATTAGATATCCTCACAAAACTGCAGGCTCCATGAGGGCAAGGGGATATGTTTTTCTTACTACTAAAAGAATTTATAGCTCCCAACATTATTTTGACTCCTGAAAGTATGTTCTTAGGTTCCTTCAGCGTTCATACATTGTGTGAATCTTTAAAAATGTCATTTTGAGATAGATGAAGTTTGGCATCAACCTCAGTATTCAAGAATTATTTGTTTAGCTTTGGCTCCAGCCTTTGGAAGGCCAAATAGACAAATGCCTACTTCAATACACTATCTGATATTCCTTACATTGTGCATGATCAATAAATAGTGATTATCATGACAGCTAGTCAGCAAAGTATTACAAACAAGGCATGCCAATGCATTTGTTATTTTCTTCATGTTCACTTTTGAATTTAGATAAACATTTTAGATATAACTTATAATGAAAGTTTTCTTACATCTTTAATATGCTGAAATTCTATTAGCCAATTGATGAATAAATATATTTTGATAATGGAAGTGGAAAATGTTACAATAATTAATAAGGATTGTAGGAACTAATTTTTGTATGTGGAAGCAGTTAAATCCTTTCATATAATTTAGTAAATATGCAAAGCTATTGAGAACCAAAACAAATACCAACAGAGTGGGTATTAGCTAAATAACTTTAGGAAGAATATAATAACCTTTCTGAGATTAATATTTATAAAACATAAATGATAATGTAAAGAATGAAATATATTAAATTATATCATAATTCTCTTTTTATAGACTTGTTATACTAGCATTTATAACATTAACCCAATTTACTCATAAAAGCTGTTTTCACTTTTTAGTTATTTAATTTCATGTAAGTCAGAAACTATCAAGTAAGGTCTTACAAGGAGAATTTTTTGCATCATGTGGCAATGAATTAAAAGCAGAATATAAAGTCACCTGCATCAATATTACATGAGGGGAAAACTCTCCAGAATAATATACAACAACATCCATGATAAATCATTGCCAATCCAGCCATAAATGTGGAGGATGAAGAATGTTAGTGAAGGATGTTACCCTTATTTTTCCTTGCTCTTTCAGTTGTTGAAAGTGAGCCTTATTTAGTACCACAGAAGCTGTCTTACAAATCTATTTTATAATAGATTTTAAAAAATCTTATCATATTTTAAATATTGAACTGGAATAATTGTGACTTTTGGATAGCATTTCATATTTAATCTTTTATCTAAGCAGTTACTTTTCTGATGACAATGTTCAACTTTGTCCTCAGCTTTGGTAAATATTAATTTTAATCTCAGGTTAAGGTTTGTTGAGTAATTCATTAATTTAAAAATATTAATTTGGCTCATACTGTGTTTCAGTCACTGTATTAGGAGATAAGTTAAGCTTACATTTCTGGCCTGATAAGTATGTAACTTCTGATATTATGAAATTCCCAGTATTTAATTTATATCTTTTATACTAGCATTCAACAATGTGTCTGTTCCACTTAAGTATGCTATATTTGTTGAATAAATAGCTCCATTAGTAGTCCTTCCAACTTATGGATCTTTTAAAAATATTTGATAAATATATTTTCTACTTCATCATACAGATTATTAATGTATAAAAGTTGAGCAAAATTAATATTTAGGAGAGACTTCCATAGCTCATCATAAAACTTCCCTCCAGGTGACAATTATGGAGCTTGGTTTTATTGGGGAACTGTAACGGAATTCACTGGAACTCCATCTTCCTATGATATCCCCATGACCTATTTCTCATCTTACAAGAATATAATTAAAAATGTTTGAAAAATGTCTTGTTGAAGATCAGGTATAATATTCAATGCATTTCCCTCATTTTCCTGCCTAGTAAGGCAGTCAAAACAGGAAACAAGATTGGTTTGACATGAACATGATTTACTCTTGTTGCACCAAACTATAAGGCTTCCTTGTTATCGTGATTTTAAAAATAAAATCCCAAATCTTTTAATAAGATGTTTTATTCTCTTATATGGGAATATTACTGAGCTGCTAAGTGAATGGTTTTTGAAATTCACATTATCATTTTTTTTCTTAAACTAACAAATGAGAAATTGCACACTTAGTAAACTTTCAGAATCTGAATATTCTTCATCCTATCTAATAAAAGAGTAATATGCAAATTAACTGTTACTTCACAATGAAGATGGCAGCACCCACAACCAATAAGGACAGAATATGTAAATTGATGTGACAAAGATGGTGGTGCCGGCCGGAGCCACGGAGCTGGCCAGAGAGTGGGCGGGAAGCCTTGGCATCCTGGGTTGCCCCAGTGACCCAGGAATAGGGCTAGGGGCGATCAGGCCAAGAGGGGAGGGCAGTTGAGGGTGATCAGGCTGGCAGTGAGGGAAGTTGGGGGTGAGCAGGCCAGCAGGGGGGGCCAGTTAGGGATGAGCAGGCTGGCAAGGGGAGGGCAGTTGGGGGTGAGCAGGCTGGTGGGGGGGGGGCAGTTGGGGGTGAGAAGGCCAGCAGGGGGGTGTCAGCTGGGGCTAAGCAGGCCAGCAGGGGGGGCAGTAGAGGGAAAAGCAGGCCAGCAGGGGGGGCCAGCTGGGGGCAAACAGGCTGGCAGTGGGGAGCAGTTGGGCATGATCAGGCCAGCAGGAGGGGCAGTTTGGGGCAAGCATGCTGGCAGGGGGGCAGTTGGGGGTAAGCAGGCTGGTAGGGGGGGGCAGTTGGGGCTGAGCAGGCCGGCAGGGGTCAATTGGGGGCATTCAGGCCAGCAGAGGTTGCAGTTGGGGGCAAGCTAGCCAGCAGGGGGGGCAGTTGGGGGCGAACAGGCTGGCTGGGGGGCAGTGGGGGTGATCAGGCTGGCAGGCAGAATGGTTAGGGGCAATGAGGCAGGCAGGCAGTGGTCCCGGATTGCGAGAGGGATGTCTGACTGCCTGTGGGATCAGGCCTAAACCAGCAGTCGGACATCCCCCAATGGGTCCCAGATTGTAGAGGGTGCAGGCCAGGCTGAGGGACACTCCCCCACCCCTGTGCATGAATTTCATGCACTGGGCCACTAGTTACTTCATAAAAGCTAATCTTGACAGTTTTGTTGCAAAGTCTCTCAATTTCTCATATTATTATTATTCTGATGGAAACTTATTGAAAACCAAGAGTTCAAGCATTCTATTGCATAGTCACTTATCTTCTTAGTAGTTCTCTTTAGTCAATATAAAATATATATATATATATATATATATATATATATATATATATATATATATATGTTATTTTTATTGATTTCAGAGAGGAAGGGAGAGAGAGAGAGAAATAGAAACATCAATGATGAGAGAGAATCATTGATCAGCTGCCTCCTGCACACCCCCTACTGGGGATCAAGCCCACAACCCAGGCATGTGCTCTGACTAAGAATTGAACTGTGATCTCCTGGTTCATAGATTGATGCTCAACCCCTGAGCAACTCCAGCTGGGCTTTAGTCAATTTTTTTTTTATCCTTTCCTGTTTATGGACAATTGTGGTGAAAATAAAGATGAACTGCAGTTTTACTTTTTCTTTTTACCCATCAACCAATATAACACCTTTGTCACGTCCTTTATTTTTGGCCTGTTCTGAACATGACTAAATGACTATTTGGTTATCCTTACCATAACATAAAACCCTTATGACTAGTTAGGATTAGCTTCCTGGCAATATATTTATCAGCATTTAGGTGCTGTTGACTATATACATATTGCCAATTTAATTTACTGGAGACATAAAAATATACATGAAAACATATATATATGTCTGCATACATATATATATCCATGCATATAATTTTATTAATAAATTTTGTAGATTTTTATTTTAATTATTTTTCATGTCTTCATAATATTATGCTTTCTGCATATGGGAGGATTTCAGTATATAAATTTGGGTGTATAAATTTTATATACTTTTAAAATACAATATAATATATGGTTTTAATACAATCAAATAATTAAACTTTGAAATATCTCTTTAAAAATAATTTAGCTCCTGGATTTTATAAATGGATATTTGCATATTTGCATGACACTTGCATTCTTATAGTTCACACACATTTTACATAGAATATGTTTCCAAAATTATTGATAAGAAACAATAATTTGCTTATAGTAGGTAACTAATATGGGATTGTGATATGTTACAGAAATACCTGTTGTCACTCAAATTTAAGACTCTTAGTTTCTGCATCTGTCCAATCTCTTCAGGAAGAAATTCCAGTTTATTGGAGCGTAGAGACATAACTGTTACATTCTTACAGCTTCCAATCTGTAGGTAACAACAACAAAAAGTAAAGAATCACAATGTAGATTATATTTTTATATTAATTTTTATAATTTATAAAACAATTTGATTAATTTACATATTTCCTTATCACTTTTAAGATCCTCTTAATATGTATATTAATTTTTATAATCTCACTCTTTGAAATATGTGTATCATTATTTATATATTGCTTTAGATATGAAGGCAATGTACATCTCATATTCTTTTACATATTAGGAAGGAATAATTTCCTTTATAATTTTATTATTAGAACACTTAATTGTTTTTATGTCATATTGATTTTGCCCATCCAAGTGAATAGTAACATACCTATGTTTGTAATAGATCATACATATTCAAAATGTGAAATATTGTTGACATTTCTTTGGTAAGTTAGTTTTACTTCATATTACAATGGTTTTTGTCATTTTTACTTATAATTTTGAGCTTTAAAATGATATATGTAATACCTTAATCAATAAAGAAAAAGAAACGGAAAATAAATAAAATGATATATAGATTATTGCTCCATTGTCATGGAAGTGTTTTGTAAAAATGTTGAAAACCTATTTCACACTTTTTCCTTGACATTAATAAATAAAACTTCTATTTAGAGATAAAAACTAACAGAACCTCTTGGTGTATTCTGAAACTAAAATAATATTGCTAGGCAACATGATACTTTAAAAAATTATTTACATTAAAAATCTTTCACTTCAGGAATGGAAATATAATGATCTCAAAATATTTATTTCTTTTCTTAAAAGCAAAATATATAAATTATTCAAAATTTTGTTCCTTAGCATTAATTAATTTGCAATATTTTATTACTTTTCTTTGCAAACAATGTTTAAATGCATTTTCTGGGTTGAATATAAGAACTTATCACTTGTCATTTAAAAGAGAATGATTAACAAATACATATACGTATACCTAGACAATTCCTATGACTATTCAAAACTCAACTCATGAATCTAAACTGCCTTTATATTTCTTAAGATTTAATCTTAAAACAGAATCATTAAAGGTTAATTAATAGAAACAAGTTCATTCCTCACTTCTCTGGGTAATTCTGGAAGAAAATTCTCATCGACTGCTAATGTTCGAAGACTATGAAGGTAGCCAACAGTAGGAGGTAGTGACTCCAGTTCATTACAGCTACAGTCAAATTCTTCTAATAAAGATAAACTGAAAAGATAAATACATTAGTTAGACATTTTAAAACATCAGATGGCAAAAAATTTTTGAAAAAGCCACATGTTCAGATTCAGCAAAAATGTTATTTATCTAGTGACTGAATAATTTATATAATTTATTTTATCAGTTTAGCCAAGTGATTAAATACCATTTAATAAGTGGTTCCATTTGGTAAAATAAATATAGTTTATTTTCCCCCTTTCTAAATTCAACTGTCATTTAACTGAACCATTGGAAATGAGAGATGGTTTTGTTTGTTTGTTTTTAATACAACATAGGTGTCATTTATAGTCAGATGTTCATAAAGTATGTCCTTGGAATAAATATATATAACTGGCATGGGTAGGTATAAGGGTATAGAGGGTGGGCCCAAGAAAGGGAGAATAAAGGGGTCAAACGGTAACAACAAAATATTGATTACATGATAGGTATTTTGCTAAGTTAAGAGATATAAATAACTCATCTTTTGCTTGTAACAATTCTATACCTATTATTTTAAATTCTATTGTATAGATAAGGAAATGATGGCTTACAGAGGTGAAATAACTTGCCTAAGGCCACACACAGTAGGAAAGCTGAAACCTAAATGCAGGCAGCATGGCCCCTGCATGACCTTGCCCCTTAGCCTGTGCCTCTGTAACAGAGGCTGCAAACAGAGCTTATTTCAACATGCAGTTGTGTTTGGTTTACACAGTTTTTTTTATTTAAGTGGTAAATTCTACCTAATGATCCAGACTTTTGGTAACTATTTTTATTTATTTATTTATTTATTTGTTTATTTATTTATTTATTTATTTATTTATTTTTATTGATCTCAGAGAGGAAAGGAGAGGGAGAGAGAAACATCAATGATGAGAGAGAATCATTGATTGGCTGCCTCCTGTACGCCCCACACTGGGGATCGAACCTTCAACCTGGGCATGTGCTCTGACCAGGAATCGAACTGTGACCTCCTGGTTCATAGGTCGATGCTCAACCACTGAGCCACATTGGCCGGGTGACTTTTGGTAGCTCTTAAAAAAAGAGGAAGACCTGGCAATACTGACCATGTAGTCTTCCACAATAAGTCATGGAAATAGAGTAATGGCTGCTGCCTTTGGTCACAGTTCTCCAGTTTGTCACAACCACTAGCACTCCATATTAGCCAGTTTGACCCTTATCTACAGAAAGGACTCGTATGAATGCACTTTCAAGTTATCACTAGGGAACCAGACATTCCGATGGCTGGTTTGAGGCAGCCGGGAAAGTGGGCCTGGCACAGAGGAGGCACTAGCTGTATTTAAGTTGTCAGTGATGTTGTTGTTAATATTATTATACTGTCATCACTACTCATATCATTGTTATTACTGTAATAGGAAGGAACCCCAAGGGGGAAGATCTTGCCCTCGCAAAGAGGAGATTGAATTATTGTCTGGACTAGATTGTAGAATCAGCTTCCTTTTTTATACCTTGGAACTGGCTGGTCTGACTGCCATTTACTCTCCTCATTTAGTTTCACAGAAATAAGCATGTGGGTTTTTAGTCAGTCAGAATGGATCTGTACTCAAGCTCTGTCAATTGCTAGATGCATTATCTTAGGTATCAAAAAATAAAACAAAAACCACAGCTCAAAAATCAAAGCTGACAGGCAAAGGGACATAGCAGGGAAGAAATTCACTGAGTAGTGCTCTGAGGAGGGAAATTAAGTGCCAAAAGGGGGAGCTAGCACTGGGTTATACTAATTAAGGATTAAAAATGTGCATTATGTAGAGAGTGAAATGCCTTCACAAGTCTGTGTTCAAGGTAAATCAAGTCTCATTATCCATGGGTCAAGAAAGAAATGAGTTCAGCCAGGTCAAGTCTGACCCTGACCAAAGTAACTCACCATCCATGGTCCTTAAGCGCTTCAACAGGTTAGAACCAGATGAGGTGAAACAGCATTCCGCTTTGAGTATTATCTCTTTGGCAAGTGCTGCTTAAGTGAAATTTTTTCTTTTGCACAGACCAGTTCTATAACTTTTCTCTAATCCTTAGTTTCTTTATATTTGCAATGAGGATATGAATATGTCTTGCCTCATGTTAGTTGCTCTGAGTATTTCATGAACTATTGTAAGTAAAGAATCTAGCACAATACCTGCCATAAAATACATACTCAGGATATATGTTGTCTTTGTATTAGTGAACCCTCATAAATTTGTTTCTAAATCCTTTGAAACTCTCACATGCAGGGGTGGTCATGTCGCTGGGTGCCTGGTGTGCATGGCTGTGTGACTGTGTGGGGTGTGTGTGACTGTGTGGGGTGTGTGTGTGTGTGTGTGTGTGTGTGTGTGTGTGTGTGTGTTGGTGGGCACAGGGATCAATGTACTGGGAAACCCATAACAGTTTATTTGTTTCTAAAAAAAGTCTAGCACAGTGTCTTACACATAATGCACTTAATATATTTGGTAGAATTTTTTAAAAGACATTTCTATCAATGGCTTGTTGTCATGTACTCAGCAAGTGGTGATAGAAGTACCAGGACTTTTTTAAAATAAAATTTTCTGATGTATGTTCCAGGTAGATATCAAAGAATTAAACAATTAAAATATAATTAAAGTATCTTATTTTTTCTTTCTTTCTTTCATAAAAACATGTCTTGAAGTTAAGTCTTGAGTCACACTGTAAGGCAGTCCTTACTTCCTATAGTTCTGAGAGGCACACATTTCAGTTATTATGGCTTCATGAAATAATATTAGCTCCTTAGCAACATGACTCAAATTTAAGTTACCTCATACACTGTGAGTACCTCCATACAATATAAACTTCACTGCTAACTCTTCATTCTAGAGCCACAGTATAAATAACAGGTGTGCGTCTGAACAGTGACTAGTCACGTTTCTTCTTTCAAAGTCTGTCAGTGATCAGTCACTGCACAGTGTTACTCAGTTCACACACAGAGTATAAATCCCATTGTTGTATTGCTTACTTGTCAGTCAGCAATACAGGAATACTACAGGCACAATAATTGAACATTTAAAGCACTACTACCATTTGATAGTATTCTTGGTCGTCATAATTCTTTGGGGTATTTAAATGAAAATGTGAAAGTTTGCTTTTATCACCAAGAGCAACATTAATCCAAGCAATGGAAAGAGGAATTATTTCAACTTTGAAAGACTATTATCTTATGCAGGCTTTTGAATAGGCTACCAATGCCACAACTGAAGACCAAGCATTATGTTTAGCTGTGTTTTGGAAGAAATATGACATAAAGCATACAACTGAAGGTATTCAAGCATCATGGCAGGAGGGAACAGCAAGTAACATGGGTGCAATATAGCAGAGACTTTCAGCGTATTGTGCAAATAAATTTGCAGAATTCAAATCAAACATAAATGGAGTTGTAGAAGAAATGGCTGACTGCTGAAATTTGCCTGCCACTATTGGAGAGACTAGATATGCTGCCAGTAGAACTTAGTGGAAGCAAACCTGTTGACATAAAATGAGGAAGATGGTTGTGATGAAAATGATGATGTCCCAGAGGAAGTGACGCTGGGAATCAACTTCACCTTAAAGGAACTCTCAGAGATGTTTCTAAACATTAAAAGCACGAAGGATAAAAGTTTGGAAGCTAACCCAAGCTTAAAAAGGAGTATGACAATTCACTGCCACTAGAAAAAAATGTTCACTCCAAATTATAATTTACATGATGAAAAGAAGGAAAGCACAGTTCAAATTAATCTTGATAGTGTTGTTTTCTTTAAAAATATATATTTTATTGATTTTAGAGAGGAAGGGAGAGGAAGAGAGATAGAAACATCAATGATGAGAGAGAATGATTGATGGGATGCCTCCTGCATGGCCCATACTGGGGATGGAGCCCATAACCCGGGCATGTGCCCTGATCAGGAATGAATTTCCTGGTTCATAGGTTGATGCTCAACCCCTGAGCCACACTAGCCAGACTTGATAGTTTTTTTGTTTGTTTGTTTTTTACAAAATAAATAAAACATCGTAATTCTTGATGCTCCTAATGCTTACAATGACAGTATACTAAATAAATATTGGCTTTACTAGTTTTTCATTTCCCTATACATTTATAACCAACCGCACAAGTGTTTAATGTTTGAAAAAGGTTTTGAAAGAACTTTTGAGAACAATCATAGTTTTCCTCATGGACTGTTTTGCACAGTTTCAGGTTGCAGCATGCTTGTTTTTATGGTCTTCCACTACTGTGCAAAGCAAGAACTTCCTGCATTAAAAGACAACATTTTTCCTATACCGTGGATATACTGAATTCATAATTTATAGCCTGAAAGTATTTTATATCTCTGAGATACAGAGGAAAGCTATTAGGTGCAAAACACACATTCTTCAATGATTTCTGAAATTCAAAAGATCCTAATTAATAATTTAACATTCCAACTGACTACTGATGGCTATCTTGTTAGAAATCACCTAAGGTATTTTAATTCCAGATCTATATAAATACAGTTGTATCACATTTGGCATAGACCAACTAAGTGAAAAAATACTCAGACAGAGGAAGACAATACCATATAATCTCATTTATATGTGGAATCTAAAAACAAATAGGCAAACAAACCCAAGAAAATAGATACAGAGAATGGATTGGTGGCTGCCAGAGGTGGAGGTGGGAGGTGGGCAAAAACGGGTGAAGGCAGTCAAAAGGTACACATTTCCACTTATAAAATCATTAAGTCTTATGGATATAATGTACAGCATAATAACTACATATTGCATATCTGAAAGTTCTAATCACAAGAAAAAATTGTAAGTATGTATGGTGACACGTTAATTAGACTTGTGATCATTTTGAAATATAAACAAATATTGAATCATTATGTTGTACTCCTGAAACTAATATTTTTTATGTCAATTATATTTCAATAAATAAAACACATATTAATTATACTTTGTGTAAACAAACAAACAAATCCTCGCCATGGCCAGTATGGTTCAGTTGATTGCACATTGTCCATGCACCAAAAGGTCACAGGCTTGATTCCCGG